CAAGAGGTTACAGGCTGCTAATGACATCAGCTTCGTGTGTGTGCGTGTGCGTGTGTGTGTGTGTGTGTGTGTGTATGTGTGTGTGACAGGACACAGCTGTCAATTAGCTCCACACAGGCTCTGAGCGTGTGTCCTTATTGTGTCTCGTTAACTTGACCAATCAGAGCTGAGGCCACACTGTTGCTATAACACGCCTGTACACACGCCTGTACACACGCACAGATGACATCATGCCGTGTCCTTGTGTGTCCTCTTGTCCCCTGAGTGTTTCTCTGAATGATAAATCACATTACAGAAACTGATATTATTACATCTGAGACTCTCTCAGTGTGTGTGTGTGTGTGTGTGTGTGCGTGTGCGTGTGTGTGTTTGTGTGTGTTTGCTGGTTGTGTTAATTTGACCAATCAGAGACAAGGTCACCTCACTGTGTCTCTGGACCCGAGCGTCTGTCTCACAGAGGAGCTGATAACTGTTAACATGTCGACTACACACAGGAAGAGAAGACCAGAGTCCATTCAAGTATTGGCTAATTTAGCATTGGTCTGCAAATATAAATATATTGATAAACTATTGATAAACCCCAGCATAAAAAGACTAATTCCTCTGTCATCGCAGGTCACACCAACTAAAACTGAAAATAATTTCAAATTAATAAAAAAAAATTTTCCCTGCAAGTTGATATATTATTGCTAATATATATTGTAATATATCTATATCACTAAAGCACTTCTGGATGGATGCAAGCTGCATTTCGTTGCCTTGTACCTGTACATGTGCAATGACAATAAAGTTGAATTCTATTCTATTCTATTCTATTCTATTCTAAAGTCGTCCTGTTCCATTACAGAAGCACCGTGAGGCTTCAGCCGACTATCAGTAAGACATCCGATGACTGAAGCTCTAAATATCCATCTTCTACAGTATGTCAGCGAACACTGCTGAGTTACTTTCATTTGAATTAAATGAAAATTAAATGAAATGGATATGTCCCACCAAAGGTGATGTTGTAAAAGTAACTCCTGAGCAGTGTATTCATTTAAATTTAGTTTTTTAATCTAAGCTACTGCGTGTGGCTGTCAGCTCCCACAATGTCGTCAAGCCTTTGTTTGAACATGTTTGTTCTTAATCTTTTCACAGAGAAACTAAAAAGAATTAAATGCTGTGTATTGAAATCCAGTCTAAAATGTAGATTATCTTTATCTATGAATTTTAACGTGGAGTTCCTCAAGGCTCAATTCTTGGTCCTACTCAATTTCATAAAAATCTTGCCGGAGTTTTAATAAAACAGTCTTTTATTTTAGATGTCTGTGAAGGTTCTCAGTCATCCAGGTCATCGTAGTCTAAGGAGCTTAGAAAGAAAAGCGTCTGGACTTCTTTAAGTTACTTGAAGA